CCCGCCGGGCCTGGCCGGGCTGGGCCGGCGCGGCTCACCTGCGGCCAAGCGCTCGGCCGGCGCTGACCCACTTTCCGTTCCGGTCGCGACGCAAACAATCCCCGCCCCCGCGCTGCATTGGCCGGGCAGCCGAAGGCGGGCTCTCCTGCGGATTCGCGCGGGGGCGGGTCTCGCGAGACAAGGCTGCTGTCGAGAGGCTCGCTCGACCTGTCAATCCTGACCCAAAGTTCCTACTGGTCCTCACTAGAGCTGTCAAAAAGATTCTCGCATCACTATTGGACAAGCATGCGGAAGTATCTCTGTGTCCGTGGCGTCATCATCAATTGCCAGGATCGGGTTCTCTTCAGGTGATCTGATTGGCTGACGATTGCGAAACTAGGCCTCTCAAAATGAGCCAGGGGCGGACTCTTGTTGCCATTGGTTCAAAGGCTCGGAGAGTTTGGAGAGAAAGCGGAAGGGAGCCGAGGAGAGCAGCTGGCTGCGGGATGGAGGCGGCAGCTGGTGAGCGTGCGGGTCGGCCAGGCGTGAGGGGTCGGGGAAGTCTGAAAGCAGACCGAGTGCAACTCACCGGTGGCCTGAGACGCCAATGCATGGCATGTCCCCTTGTTTACCGAGCCAGCCGGGTGACGCGGATGCACATGGAGGCGGTTACGGCTGCTCTAGGTCCTCAGCCTTGCTCCTCCCAGAGAGCTGGGAGCCCGCTGCAGTCTGTGCATTCGGACACAGGTGCCGCGTAGCTGTGATAAACTAGCCTCTATGTTTCCTCTGTCTCTACTGAAGTTAGCTGGCATTTAAGGATTATCACAGGTGAGCGTTCGTACACGGTGTCACGTGTGTACGTGACTTCAGTTACTCCACCTCACCCAGAAGTGAGACCCTGACAGGCAGATCTGGGACTTCTACAAGACCTTCTACCAGGGTGCCTTTGTCTTTGTCGCTCTCCCGGACACACCAACTCCTTTTTCTCACCAGAGCCCGGGAATCTGGCCGGAGTGCGAAATATCATCCTTGTCCTCTCTGGAAAGGGGGGCGTTGGGAAAAGTACCATTTCCACGGAGTTGGCCCTGGCGCTGCGCCACCAGGGCAAAAAGGTGAGGCCCCGACCCGGGCTGACACCTGCTGCCAGCAATCCTGGAGGGCTTCTCTCCACCCTCAGCCTCCGCTCTCTTTTAGGTGGGGATCCTAGATGTGGACCTGTGCGGGCCCAGCATCCCACGCATGCTCCGTGCACAAGGCAAGGCAGTGCACCAGTGTGACCAAGGCTGGGTGCCTGTCTTTGTGGATCAGGAGCAGAGCATCTCCCTCATGTCTGTGGGCTTCCTGCTGGAGAACCCTAACGAGGCCGTGGTGTGGAGAGGTCCCAAGAAACATGGTAAGAACTCAGTGGGCGGGAGGTCCTCCAGCTGACCCTTCAGTGCCGCTTTATTACGGCCACTTTCCCTCCTATCATGGTAGCTAGGTATTTGGTAAAGTAAGGATCTAGCCCTGGCCTCTTGGTATTGGAGACTCTGTGCCAATGGACCGCTTCCACGGCTCATGCATGCCCACCCAGCTGGATATACACACCCCTGTGTCCCTGAGAAGCCTCTTCCAGCTTCTGTGACAGCCATATCAGCCTCTGAATGGAGAGAGCGACATGGGACCCACACAGGGGAGTGTTGGGACCAATAAGTCCTGGCCTTCAGCTGGATGTTGGGACTAATTGAGTCCTGGCCTTTCAGCTGCTCTATCCTGCTAGAACCTTCTGATTGAAGTTACTAGAAGCTGTGCCTAGCTTAGAGGACCAGAGGATGGGATTTTCACCTGTTGGCCATTGACTGCCGTGTATTTAAGCCTACATGGTGTTAATTAAAGTGGGGCTTTTGGTATCAGTGTTAAAAGGTCTGCATGTCTGTCTCTGCATCTGTATTCTCAACCTCCAGCCCCCTTTCCCGAAGCTTGCAAACTGGGTTCTAGCACACAGAGCGCAGACACAGGGGCGTGGTGCGCGGCAGGGGAGAAGCTGTGTTTGGCCTGTGTTGTCCATCTCTTAGTTAGGAAGGGAGGTCTCCTGAGAGCCTCGCCCTCTCTCAGCACACGGGTCTGAGGTGTAGTGGGCCAAGCGCTGAGCTCCAAGGAGGTAACGTTAGACCATCCTGGCTATAGTGAGGGGCTGCCCAGAAGAAGAGCACACTTAGAGGGAATGGCTCGCTGCTCCTGGATGTGCCGGCAAGGAGCTTCATGTCAGGCCATTCTCTGGCCTAGAGGACCAGAGGCCCTTTGGGGAGACTCAAGGTTCCGTCCTCACCCGGGGCCATAAGGGGTAGAGCCGGGTTGGGTGGAGTGTGTGAAGGCAGTTTAGTGCTGGCCGTAACACGGCTGCTGGGAAGCACGGAGTGCTTGTGCGGCCCCCGAGCTCTGCCTCCCCAGTTACCTCACAGATCACGGACCCTTGCTGCCTTGTGTGGCAGGTGTTTCCATTGTCCCCCGAGAGTTGCCCAGTAGCTGCTGGTAGATCTGGGGCTGGGGGCTGGACAAGATGGGCCTCCCCAGCCCAACCTCCCCTCAGGTTACTTCTGGTCTCTGGGGTCTCGGCAGCACTGATAAAGCAGTTCGTGTCTGACGTGGCCTGGGGAGACCTGGACTATCTGGTTGTGGACACGCCACCAGGGACTTCTGATGAGCACATGGCCACCGTGGAAGCCCTGCGCCCCTACAGGCCCCTGGGGGCCCTTGTGGTCACCACACCACAGGTACTACGGCATCTCCAACGTCACCTGGGGCGTGTGTCTGTGTGCCTGTGTCCTGTTGGGCTGGGCTGTGGTGGGCCATGTTCCCTGCTGATTGCATGGTTCTTGGCTGACATGTGGCTGACTGGCCTCTTTACTCTGATCTGCAGGCAGTGTCTGTTGGGGATGTGAGGCGGGAGCTGACTTTCTGTAAGAAGACTGGGCTGCAGGTCATAGGGGTCGTGGAGAACATGAGCGGCTTCGCCTGCCCACACTGCGCTGTGAGTCTCTGAAGATGGGTGGGCTAATTCAAGGTCTGAGGGAGTGCAAGACAGGGCAAGCAGTCAGAGGCTTCCAGTAAGAAAGTCCCCTGCCCATCAGTTCAGATGAGTGACTTCCTGGCCAATGAAGACACTGTTCCTACCTGGGTGTTCTCCCTGGAGCAGCTGGAGGTCTCACCGTGGTCGTGGGTCTGCAGACTGGACCCTCACAGCCTTTGTTTCCTAGGAGTGCACCAACGTCTTCTCCAGGGGTGGAGGGGAGGAGCTGGCCCAGCTGGCTGGAGTCCCCTTTTTAGGTAAGTGTCAAGAGCAAGCCAGCAAGGGTCCCAGATTGCACCTACCAGGCTTCTGAGTGGGTCTGACTTCAGTGAGTGTGGTTTGGTTTATGTGGGCCGCCCGCCGCCCAGCAGTCTTGTGGGAGTGCATGTGGCAGGGGTACCGGGCTCTGCCACTTGCCCCAGTTATTGTCAGGGAGGTCAGCAGCCTGAGTTTCTGGTGAGTGTGTGGTGGTCAACACTCCTCAACTGCTGAGCCTTGCTGGGCCTCCTCTTATTTTTGTTTGTTTCTTGGGGAGGGGGTTGTGGCACTTGCCACAGGGAACATGGGGAAGCCAGGTGACAGTTTGGGGTGGGGGTGCCAGTAGGTCCCAGAGACTGAACGCAGGTTGTCAGACTCGGCAACAGCACTTGCACCACTGAGCCCTCTGTCAGCCCTTCCCTGGCCTTTGCTATTGCAGGCTCGGTTCCCCTGGACCCCCAGCTCACCAGGAGCCTGGAGGAGGGCCGCGACTTCATCCAGGAGTTCCCCAAGAGCACTGCCTACGCCGCGCTCACTTCCATCGCCCAGAAAGTTCTGCACAGGATGCCTGCTCTGCACTCCTGACAGCCTCCCAGCCTCTCTGTCCACAGCCTACAGGAGCTCTGGGAGCTGGTGTCCTCAGGACTGGCCTGAGCAATGGCTGGTCTGTGCAATGACCTCCATGCAGGCCCCAGTGTTTTACCATCAGCGGCCTCGCCAGACTAGTTTGTAGCTGAGGGGACGGTTTGGGTCCTAGTTTCTTGAGATGGTCGCAGCCTTAACCTCCACCCTCTGGGCTTTGTCCAGCCCTAGTTCCCTCCGCCCCAGATCCACAGGCTGCTCAGACAGCACACTATACACGAGCTGGCCAGTACGTTCTCCTCCTGACTGACCCTGAGTGCCCACAAGGACTGTGCTGTGGAACCTTCCGTGATGCACTGTGTGGTTTACTTGGTAACTTACGGGAGTCTACCATTAAACTATCTCCCTACCTTGTGGGGGAGAACCCAGCGTCCAGACCCTTCTGTCCTCAGTGAGATGGCTTTTGTTGTGTTCTAGGTCTGGAACAGGCAGTATTAGTAAAGATATAACAGGGCCTGAAGAGATGGTGAGGATGTCTGTCTTGTCTTGGGGACAGGTGTCAGCATATTGTGTTTTCAGAGACCCTGTGGGCCTGGGGCAGCTGGAAGCCATAGGATGAGAGTTGAGGAGTGAGCTGAGGCACGGAGGCCCTTTCCTCCTTCCTGGAAAGGTCAGGAAGGAAAGCTCCGATGGTGACCTGTTATGTCTTCCTGGGGCAAAGCTGAGGTCTCCAGGGGACAGTGGGGGCCTGGGAAACATTTCAGAGGATGGTTCTTGCAGTCAGATGGGAAGGCGCTGTCCTCACCTCCCACCTGCCTCCGCCCCAGCACCACTGTTCATGCCCAGCAGTGAGCGATGTGGTGACCTCCACAGCTGGGCTCTGACCACCTGGGATCCGGACAGCTGTGAGAAGCCCACCTGGTCCCAGTGTCGTGCCCTGAGGGAAGGCTGCAATGCCAGGATTTGGGAAGATATAGGTGCCTGTAGTTCCTTGTGTTGGAGGAGAGGGTCCCAGGAAGCCCAAGAAGGCATGGACGCAGCAAGGTGAAGTGGGACGCATGTTCCCAACACCAGCAAGGCACAGGTGGGCTCAGGTAGAGCTGTAGAAGAGGTAGGGACAAGGGCACGCTCAACAAGCCATGCTTAGTGCTTGCTTTTAATTGTTGCCAGCAGGGAGTGCTGCTGAGTGCTTCGCCTCCTGGTTGGGTCCTTGGGCACCTGGCCTGTGCCCACCTTTCTGAGTTTAGGCCACATGGCTGCCAGTACTGCCCTGCTTCCAGGATGTGAGCAGCCTAGAACCTGTTCCCTAGAGATGGGTAGGTATTCTCCGCCCCTCCCCCCACTGGCTTCGAGGGCTGGCGATTCTGGTAACAGTGAGAACTGTCCTGACCACAAGGCGGCATTAGGCCAAACCAGGCCAGTGGTAGCCAGAGTCAGCAGTGCGCAAAATGTGTTTCGCTAATGTCTCGAAGGTCGAGGCCTGCGACGTCGGCAGGGCCCGCACAGGTGATGTTGTTGTAGGTGTGCACCGGTTGGCAGTCATCCCCCTCACAGACAGTCTGAACAAAGCGGGGGACAACGCCGGGGTTCTGCAGGGCAAAGTCACGCAGTGCCTTGAGGGGACAGTGGCAGTCCCAGGGGTTGGCATCAAGCCACAGACGCTCCAGGCCAGGCTGTGGCGAGAAGGTGTGCAAAGAGTTGTTCCTGAGGCTGAGGTAGCGCAGCCGCCCCAGTCGTGAGAAAAGGCCTTCTGACAGCCCCTCCAGGCGGTTGTGGGAGATGTCCAGCCAGAAGGCCCGCTGCAAGGGGCTCAGGACATCCTCAGACAGCGCCGACAGCCGGTTATACGAGAGAAGCAGGTACTCGAGCTGACCAAGTCCCTGGAAAAGCTGGTGGGGCAGATGTGTGAGCTGGTTGTCGGTAAGATCAAGCTCAAGGAGCTCAGAGAGACCCGCCAGACTATGCTCCTCGATGCTGGAGATGCTGTTGCCCCTGAGGAAGAGCCTGCGCAGCCCCGAGAGGCCGGCGAAAGTGTGCAGGCAGATGCGGCCCAGGCAGCTGTGCTCCAGGTGCAGGCTGTGCAGCTTGCCCAGGCCCTGGAACACTCGCTCTGGGAGGCTCTTCAGACAGTTGCCGGAGAGATTCATAACGGCCACATTGAAGAGACCAAAGAAGGCACCCACCTTGACCTCGTGGATCTGATTGTCATTGAGCGTGAGCACCTCGAGCTGCCCAAGGCCCTCAAATGTCTTCTCACCTAACTGCCGGATGCGATTGTGACCAAGCTGCAATTCCTCCAAGAAGTGTAAGTCTTTGAAAGTACGGGGCCGCAAGATAGTGATGGCGTTGTGTGCCAGGCGCAGAACATGCAGACCCAGCAGGCCTGGGAAGGTGTCCTCCAGGAGGCCTGCCACGCGGTTATGGGACAGGTCCAGCCAGCGCAGTGCCTTCATGCCCAGGAAGGCACCGGGGGCCACAGCTGTGACAAAGTTGCGGTCCAGGTACAGCTTCTGCAGCCTGGGCAGGTGTATGAAGACGTTGGCTTTGACGCTGCGCAGCGCGTTCCTGCTCAGGTCCAGCTCTCGCAGCTCACCCAAGCCACAGAAGAGCGAAGGCTGCAGGTAAGCCAGTTTGTTGCCAGCCAGCACCAGCTCCCGGAGGTTACCCAGGCCCTGGAACACAGTATCGGGCAGTACCACTAGGCTGTTCCAGCCCAGGTTGAGGTCCCAGAGGTGACCGAGGCCCCGGAACAGCCCCTCTTCCAGCCGGCCCAGGAGGTTGTTGCTCAGGCTGAGTGAAGCCAGGCTGGGCGTGTGCGTGAACAAGCCAGCAGTGAGACCTCGGAGCAGGTTCCGCTCCAGGTGCAAGTGGTAGAGGTTCTGCAGGCCCAGCAGCGCCTGGGGCTCCAGACTGCTCAGCCAGCTGCCCTGCAGGTTGAGGAAGTCCAAGCTGGACAGGTTTTGGAAAGCCGCCGAGGGGATGGAGGAGAGGTTGTTGCCGTCCAGCCACAGGGCCCTGGTGCTCGCTGGGATGCCATCAGGCAGCCGTGTGAGGTTCCTCGAACTGCAGAAGACGCTGAGCTCCTCTGTGTGGTCGTCATAGCTGCAGGTACAGGTGACAGGGCACGGGGGGCCCTCGGCATCTGTGGATGCTCCAGGATCTGACCCTTGCAGGTCACAGGAGCCCAGTGCCACCCAGAAAGCCAGAAGTACCACCAGAGCTGGGCCTCCTGTGGGGAGAAGGGCTTGGCAAGGAGGTGCCCAGAGGACTGTGACCCACGATGTGAGCCAACCCCCTGGGCTTCCCTAGGCCTCAGCCACTAAGAGAAGGGTGTTGTTTGAGGTCTGAGACCTGTGATCAACCGTCTTTGATATGAGCAGCCAGATCCTATCCTTGGAAGTAACTTCACTTTTCCAGTTCACGGGACCAGCGAGTGGCGGTCCCCATCTCATCGCACCCAGGGCTTACAGACTTGCATTTCAACCTGGCTCCACAGGCAACCCCGGCCCTGGCCACTAGGCCATGTGGCAGTCTGTGCCCTCTGGGGTATACACAGTCAGGCTGAAAAGCAGAGCCGAGCCAAGACTTGGCTGTTCAGAATATTCTGGAACAGACCCGGGCAGCATATTCATTTGTGGTCCCCAGTGACTGAACGGCAAGCTGGGCACTCCCTGCCTGCTGGGCCCCTAGCTGGGAGAGGCACACCCTACTTGCTCCCCAGTATATGCAGCCTGTACCACCTGCTGGCAGAAGAATGGGGTCTAGAAAACCCTGTCTCCACTCAACACGGCTCCACCAGCACCTCAGGTCTACGCCGAGAGCGCCAGCTCAGGCTGGGCAGCACCGTTCCGCACCACACAGCCTGCATCCGGCGTAACTGCACAACGGTTCTGGAGTGAGACTTCATGGGGCAGCCCCTGGCATTGTGGTAGCACGCCAAAGACAGACAAGGATAAGACTCTGGCTTCCTACTCACCCCGGGGCCGGGCCCCTGAGAGAAGCAGTAGCTAGAAGGGTCACAGGCTGTGGCTAGCACACGGTCGCGGCAAGCTGTGAGGTAGGGCTGTGGGGAGCTCGTTTCTGCACCTCAACATGCCCAGGGGTTCGGTACTTGTTCCTGCCTGCCCTGCCTGCCTTCGGCCCTCCCCCCAGTGCCACCACCAAGGGAGAGCTAGCAGACCCCTTGGGGTCATGATTAGCAGTATCCAAGACCCAATCCAGAATTCCCACCAGCCCACCCTGAGCTGAGCTCACTGCAGCTTTTCCCAGTGGGCTCAGGGTTGAGGGCCAGCTACCCTCAGAGCAAGTGGCAGGGATACGGGGTCCTCACCTGTCCTCGGGGCCATTGCGCCTCGCACAGAACTGGCTGCAGGCAGGCAGTGAGTGAGGGCTGCCTAAGTGCAGGCTGCTGCCCTCTGGATTTCCTCACTGCCAGTAGCTGGCAGCCTTAAGCTGGCCCTGCCCCACACTCGGTCTCCTTTAACCCTCTCGTGCTGGGCAGCTAGTCTCAACCGCAAGTCTCCTAGGTGCAGATGGTGCGGGGGAGACGTGGGGCTCTGGAGGCTGCCCGTGCAGGTGTTGAAGGTAGAGGCTTGTTGGAGCAGTCTTACAGGATCTGGTGCTCAAGATAGAGAGGGCCCTCTCTCCAAGTAGGTTCAGCCAAGGTGAGAATACCCTAAGGGAGCTCGCAGATCCTGGGGAACCCCCCACTCACCCCTATACTGAGCAGACGGCTTTATCGGGTTAAGCAGTTGCTGCCTGTTTCTTACAGACCCTCCTGTATTTCTAGCATGTTGCCTGAGCTGGGGTTTCTTTTTCTTTTTTTTTTTTTTATTATTTTTCAAGACAGGGTTTCTTTGTGTAGCCCTGGTTATCCTGAACTCACTCTGTAGACCAGGCTGGCCCAAAACTCATAGAGATCCACCTGCCTCTGCTTCCCAAGCGCTGGGATTTAAAGGTGTGCACCACCACTGCCTGGCTTAGCTGGGGTTTAACAGGCTAAGTGGGTCCCACCGTTTGGGCTTCCCAGCCCAGGGGTTTGTCCAGGGCTCAGTCTCAGCCTTCCAGTGACCTCTAGGTCAGCTGATGTCTGGCCACTGCCCCTCCCCCAGGGCCTCTTCTAGGAACACCTGGCAGGGCCACCAGCTACCTCATGTTTGCCTTCAGTAGCACAGCCCTCTTGGGGAAGCCTGGCAAGAGGACATTGGGACACCCAGGCCCTAAGGGCCAGGGCCAGCAGCTTCCATGGGCTCTGACTGTCCTCAGCGGCAACAAGGGCCTAACTACCACAGTTCCTTGTGTGTAGAGACCCCCCGGTAAACGTGCTGCCTCGGGGAGGTTAGGGGGCTGCTCATGGGGTCCTCAACTTGGCCCTGGCTCCACTCACCCTGCCGGAGCCCCATCTCGGCTTCCTCCTCCAGGGCCTGAGAGCTGTGACCTGGCGGACGCTCGGAAGCTCGGCGAACCCTGCCTTGAGCTCTGTCCCTTTGCCCTGCCGGGGTGGTGGGAATGCACACGGGAGGGGCCAGGTTTCAGGGGGAGCACTTCTCGGGGAAGGGGGTTGGGGGACATTAGGACCTATCTCCAGGCAGACAGAGGAAGTAGACAGGTCTGGGAGGGTCAGGGGGCTGTGGCTTCCACTCTGCTGCCTCATCTCCAGGGCATTTTCCAGGTTATTCCTCAGCCTCTTTTCTGAGAAATTATAGATCGGCAGGGGCAGGCTCCGCCCAGAGCCACAGAGCAGTTTACACAGGAAAAGTGCAGGCTCAGCAGGGCTGTGGGGCCAGTGGCCTGCCTCAGTCTCTGTTGGGAAAGGGGGCCAGGCAGCAGTGCCCAGGAGTCCCTGCGGGGCCCTGCTTTACTCTGGGCTGGGATGGATCTCTTCCTGTCCACTGCAAACACCTCTGGATGTGGAGTGGAGGCTTAGCAGGCTTTTGACAGCGTGGTTAGAGCCAAGTCAGCCTCCTGGGTCCTGAGTCACACAGCACAGTAACATAACCAGAGTTCTCTACTCCCCAACAACCCAGCTATCCTGTCAAGGTTTCCTTCCCAGGGCCATGCTCGGGGCCCGTGTGGCCTGTGTCTAGTCCTGAATATGCCATCAGATGCAGAGTGCACCTCTGGACATCATCCGAGTGAGACAGCCGTGTGGTACATCTGTCTGAGCTGGGCGCTCAGCTCCTCCCTCCAGGACCACTCAGTGAAGCTGTGGTGGTGGCTATGAGGCCTGAGGGAATGTGGGTGCTTCTGTGGGGGCAGGACTTGGGGTCCATATGGCTTCCCTAGCCGTCTCCGCGTGCTACCTGCTGGTAGATGGCTGTCCTAGTGGTCTGTGTTTTCTGGGTCTCTGGTGAGGCCAAGCACACTGAAGCTGTTGGCACATTTCTGTTTGAGCCTCTTGTCAGTTTCTCTCAGATCACCCGTCAGTCTTGAGATTTCTTGTCAGGAGCTTAGGGCTTCTGGTTCTGTGTGTGCAGGCACATGGTGCTAGGCTGGATACAGGCCAGGGTCTGTGTGCAAGGCTCAAGCGTACTCCCTTACTCCCCCAGCCAGAGTTAGTAATTTCATGTTTTAATTTTTTTTTTTTGAGACAGCCTAATCTGACCTTAAACTTGATATGTAGCAGGTGAGGCTTTAAACTCCTGGCTCTTCTGCCTCTACCTCCCAAGTGCTGGGGTTATAGCTGGAATTACGTCACCACTTCGAAGCTGACAGTCCAGACTGGTGCTCAAATTCACAGTGGCCCCTTGCCTCAGCCCCCAGCGTGCTGGGCTTATCGGAATGCAGCATGCCCAACTAATCCTTCATAATTTTCTATGTAATCTGAATTATCAGATGAGAATTTTGAGTGCTGTTTGCATTTGTACCTAAACATGTTCCCTCACATCCCTTTTATAATCTCTTCCATTGCTATCAACAGCTAGCCTTGCATCATTCTCTTGCTGTCTTGGTCAGTCTGGGGGGTAGTTGAGAGTGTTGGCAATAACCTGCAATGCTTGAGGGAAGGCGGGTCTGCGAGATTTTTTTTTTTTTCCTGAGACAGGGTCTCTGTATGCGGCTCTGGCTGTCCTAGAACTCACTATGTAGACCACTCACAGAGATGTTGCTGGGATTAAAGGTGTGAGCCACCACCACTCGGCATGACAGTGTCTTTCTGTCCAGAAACATTTTAGTTTCACATGGTTCCTTTGTCTGCTGTTGGTCTCAATGCCTGTGCTACCAGGGACCTGTTCTAACCCTTTCCTGTGCCTGGAAGCTGAAGCTCATTCCCTGATTTGGGGAACTGGTCGTAAGCTGAGGTCCTTGGCCCATTCAGAGTTGAGTTTTGTATGGAATAAGAAGACTCATGTTTCGTGTAACTAACTATCCAATTTGACCTTCGTTTGTTGATGCTCTTTTCAAGTGTGTATTAAAAAAGAATCAGGCCAGGCAGTGGTGGCGCACGCCTTTAATCCCAGCACTCGGGAGGCAGAGGCAGGTGGATCTCCGTGAGTTTGAGGCCAGCCTGATCTACAAGAGCTAGTTCCAGGACAGTTAGGGATGTTACACAGAGAAACCCTGTCTTGAAAAACCAACAAAACCCAACCAAAACAAACAAAAGAACAAGACTCAGGCCAGGCAGCAATGCGGTCTAGGTGTGTGGCTGACTCAGGCCCAGTAGCAGTCTGGTCCAGGTGTGTGGCTGAGCACCATCACGCACCACAGCACTGACCGTTTCCCTCTCGAGTCACACTTGGCTCTATTCCAGGTCTCTGCCCTATCCAGGCAGTGTCAGTGGGCTTGCTCTCCTGGCGTGGGCTTTAAGATGGATAGGTCATTGGTTGACTACTCCCCCAATCTCTAGGTACAAACCCACAGCCGAATATTAGGCGGAGTTTGGGGAAGGATTGTAGGAGCCAGAGAGGTCAAGGACACAAGAAAATCCACAGAATCAACTCCCAGGGGCTCCTAGGGGCTCCCAGAGACTGAGCCTGTGTAGGTCTGACCTAGGCACTCTGCAGATATGTGACAGTCTGTAGCTTGTTCCTCTTGTGGGACTCCCAACAGTAGGAGTTGACTGGCTCCGACTCTTTACTGGCTTTTGGGACCCTACTCCACATAATGGGTCGCCTTGTCCAGCCTTAATACATGGGGAGGTGCTTAGTCTTACTGCAGCTTGATACGCCATGTTTTGTTGATTCTCGTGGGAGACCTGCCCCTTCCTAAACAGAAACGGAGGAGGAGTGGATTTTGGGGTGGGAACAGAGGGGGAGTGGGGAAGGGATGGAAAGGAAAGGAGGGAGGGGAACCTGTGACCAGGATATAAAATAAATTTATCTTTAAAAAGTCAGGTGAGCGTAGGATCTGGTCTATCGATCAGTTGTCGGTTTTTATTCCAGCATCATGCCGTTGTTATAGCTCTGTAATATAACTTAAAATCAGGACGGTCAGTCTTTAGCTTTGTGTGCTGTGTATGCATACATACATGTGGAGGCCGGGGACATCCAGTGTCTTCCTCAGTCGCAAGACTCAAACTGAACCAGCAGCTCACTGACTGGCCAGACTGGCTGGCCAGAAGGCCCAAGAGATTGATGGTGTGTCTCCGCCACCACGTCACAGAGCTGGGGTGGCGGATGTGCCCACAGCCAGCTCTGTGGGGGAGGGGTCTTCACGCAGGCAGTGTTTTCAGAGCAGGCAGCTGTACTGACTGCCATCTCCCCTTTTCATGTGTTTTCTTGGCCATTCTTTCATCATTTGTGAAAATGTGTAGTCTTTTTGCCCTTTTTTTTTAAAATCGAATCCTAAAAATTTTAATAAAAATGATTCCCAAAGCAGCAATCAGAATCGGCTACGTGCCCCCTCCTCACACTCGACTGAGTGACGGAAACCTCGGTTTCGCCAGCTGGCACAGACCAAGATCCTTTTTGCCCTTTTTGTGTTAATATTTTTATGAGTGTTTGCCCGCATGTATGTATATGTACTGCATGCAAACCTGGGGCCTGCAGAGGCCAAAGGAGGGCACTGGATCCCCTGGAACCAGAGGCAGAGACAGTTGTGTGGCACCGTGTGGGTGTCTTGACTGTTGAAAACTGTTCATGGCACCCAACAAAAACAAATGGCCGCCAGCACCATAGTTCATTCTTGATTCTGCCTCGCGTCCTGGTGCCTAACCTTGCCCTTGTACCACACTCTCATCGTGGTACCCACTTCAGATAGTCAGAGGTCCCCAAACCTTCTTTGTCAGAGTTGTTTTGGCTCACGTGGCTTCTTTGAATCACTGTATAATTTTAAAACCCGCTTGTTACTTTCTTAAACACATGCTAGGATCCTGCTAGGGTTGTGCTTTTTAAATCTGCAGATCAGTTTGTGGGGAACCAGTATCTTAGCAGCACTTGTCCCATTGGTGAGCATGGCCACCTGCCCATTGGTTTAGCTCCTTCATTTCTCTTAGGAACATTTTGCCATTTTCCCTGTGTAAACCTTACATTTTTA